CTTCCACCACTTGTCCAACACCTTCATTCCCTCCTACTGCAGGCAAGTCGGGGAGGAGGGGATAAGTTCCTGTAAGAGGAGGAGAAATATCACAACATTTTATTTATTTATTTATTTATTTATTTACAAAAAGGAACCAACTGCAAACTGTTCTCTCAACTTCTGTTCTCGAAGGCCTGGTTCTACACCCCTGCAGCTCTGGAATCCAGTCCTAACTCCTGTATAAAAATTCCCTAGGGGACATCATTATGGTTTTGACAGTCTGTTTGTGTAATTACTCATCTGACAACATGTGGCTAATCAATAGGTATTCCACGCGCATTTCAGAAATGGAGGGAAAAAGAAGCTGTTTGTAAGTAAAAAGTCAATTCAACCAGAGAAACCGAGGTTACCTTGGATCATGTTGATGTCTGCTGGATTGATAGGGGCTGCCAGCATCTTCACGTGAACCCCAGAATGGCCTAGCTCAGCTCGCTCTAGATCCTTTAGTCTAAACAAAGAAATATACAAATGTTACTACCACTGAATTTTGTATAACAAGTGTTCTTGGCACCAAGTGTATCCTAGAACAAAGACCATCCCATCCCACCGCTCCATAGCTTGGACGGCATGTTAGGCTTATATTATGCAGCAAGGAGTCCCCAGTTATGCAGTACTGCCTTCTCCAAGCCTACAATGCTCCCCAGGCTAATCAGCACAGACTTGAATTCCTGATCCACCAATCCACCCCAATATCTGCTAGGTATCAGGGGGTAGCCGTGTTAGTCTGTATCCACAAAAACAACAAGGAGTCCGGTGGCACCTTAAAGACGAGCAGATTTATTTGGGCATAAGCCTTCGTGGGTAAAAAACCACTTACCCACAAAAGCTTATGCCCAAATAAATCTGTTAGTCTTTAAGATGCCACCGGACTCCTTGCTGTTAATATCTGCTAGTACAGCCAAGAACAAGCACATTGGTTTGTTTCTCCTTAGAATGAGCAGTGGCTGTGTTCATACCCCTCCGACATGACTGGAGTGGTTCAGACCTCTCAGAAATATTGTCAGGAAAGAGCCTGAAAAGTCATTTGCACTGGTGGGCATTTTTTTAAAAGGAAAGTTTAGGACTTTTCTGCATGGGGAAGAGGTTTTCAGTATAAACTAAGGTGTGAATTTAAAGCAATATAATTGTACTTGTATAACTTCCTGTGTGAACACTCACACTGGAATACGAGTGCGTTTTTGCAATTTAGATTATGTTGCTTGGAAAGGGCTTTAAGTTCATCCCCCAAAAAAGCCATTCTTGTACCGGAAAAAGTGTCCACATTGGGTGTGTGTGTTATACCGGTATAAATGAAAACTTTTCCGCTTAGACAAAGCCTTGGATTCTGCAGCCACATAACTGGTACGGGGGGGGGGGGGGGGCAGGGGGGGAGCTACTGGCTTTACAGAGTCACACAACATACAGAGGTATTGGCAAGGTGTGAAAAGATGCTTTCAGATGAGATGCAAGCCAAGTTAGATACACGCAGGAGAGCGACTCCAGACAGCGGGAGCTACAAAGGCAGCTCTTGCACCAATAGTAGTGAGATAATGGAAGGAGAGACAGAAGCCCAGTGCTAGATGACTGCAAATGGGTCAGCTGGAGCAGACCCATTAAAGGTTTTAAAAATTAGAGCATTTTTTTTAAACTACCTGTGAACTGAATCAAGCGTTAAGGGAGCTGAAGAGAGTCTGATGAGGAGTTTGCCCATGGGTTGCCAATTTTAAGAACTTTAGCTATGATCACGTCCTGTTCAAGGTGTGTCATTAGAAGCAATAAATTGAATTCTCTTCACAGCTTGTCCTGTGCTGGCAAAGTTTTCCCCCCCAATTTAAGCTGCATGGCTGATGTCTCGATAAATCTGAGTTTTCAATTAAACAGCAAGATGTACTTGTTAGAAGGCTTTTAGCACTTAGGAATTTGCAGCCTGTAATCATGCATTTTAAAGACACAACGCTGCACTAAGATTTTAAGGGGGCTGCGAGTGAAACAGTGGATTAAAGCAGTGCTTCTCAACCAGGGGTACGTGTACCCCGCAGGTACACCGAGGTCTTCCAGGGGGTACATCAACTCAGGAAGATATTTGCCTAGTTTTACAACAGGCTACATAAAAAGCACCAGTTAAGTCAGTACAAACTAAAATTTCATACAGACAATGACTTGTTTGTACTACTCTACATTGTATACACTGAAATGTAAGTACAATATTTATATACCAGTTGATTTATTTTATAATTATATGGTAAAAAATGAGAAAGGAAGCAATTGTTCAGTAATAGTGAGGCTGTGACACTTTTGTATTTTTATGTCTGATTTTGTAAGCAAGTCGTTTTTAAGTGAGTCATAACTTGGGGGGTATGCAAGAGAAATCAGTCTCCTGAAAGGGGTACAATAGTCTGGAAAAGTTCAGAGCCACAACATTAATGCATCTGTAGAGACCTGGGCTCATAGTCTGACTGGATCACAAATGAAACAAGAGTTTGCCTTCAAAGCCATTTGTCCACACTTGGTCAAATCCCCCCCTCCCTCTGGTGTAACCAGCTAGTTACACCAGGGATGACTGTGGCCCAATTCTGTCATGGACAGTTGGCTCCTCCAGAGCGGCCCAGGCCTAGAATGGATCTTGGTCAAAAAAGGGAGGGACCGGGATTCTCAAAGCAAACTCAAATCCTTGAGGCAGGATCCCCAGGAGATAAGTCCAACAGACTCATTCTTCTGACTTTGCTCCTCTCTCCCCTCTCCCGTGGCTCAAGCCTTGTTTGCGACCTGCAGGGTGAGCCGGCTCAAGGAGTCACCTGAAGATGGACATGCATTTTAAATCTTTCACAAGGTATCAGATACAACTGTTCAAAGGTTAGCAGGAGATTTAAATGTTCCCAAGGCAAGACTATTTAGCAGCTGCATAGCACTGTGCTCAACACAATAACAGTAACGAATACATTCTCACAGCACCCCGCTGAGGGAACTTATCCCCATTTTGCAGATGGGAAAATTGAGGCACAGATGTTAAGTGGCTTGTCCCAGGCCCTGGAGGGTAACTCCAGGATTAGAACACAGGAGCTCCTGGCATCCAGCACAATGCTAGTTTCGCCGAACCATGCTATCCCAAGTCAGAACTGCGCAAAGCCTGCTAAACTCAACTAAGGTCAACAGGAAGAGAGCTACCTAGGCAGAGTTAAGGGAGATATAGGGATGGCTAGGGCTGGAATTGCAGGTGGTTGTGGGTCAAGAATGAAGACAGCTGGTATGGGGAAACCATGCAGATCATTCAGTCCCCAAGGCAATTATCCGCACAGTGTCACAAGGACTAAGTTAATTCACAAATTAAAACATTTACTGAAGGGATACAATTCTGCAACACTCAACAGCCGCCGCAGGTAGAGCTTTGAATTTCCTAGATTTTGTGGGTTCAGTCAGACCCCCTAAAATTTTGTCTACAGAGGAGAAATGGTGGCAAATTTGTGTAGACAAGGTAGCTTTAGTGTTAATATTAACAGATTCTTTGTATGTTTAGCGTCTATACAAAGAGAGCACAGGCAGCTGCTGGTGCGAATGCAGACCAGAATTACTGGAATTAGGTTTGACATGATGCTATTTCAACAGAATTGTTAAGGCTCTTCCACTGAAACTATAATGACTCCATTCAAAGCCGTAAGATCCCAGCGATTTAAATCAACAGATCATGGACACAATGGCTCATTTACAGCTATTACTGTCAATGGGAATGTATGCACGCACAATAAGAACATATATCAAAGTCGGTCTGGATAAAGGTAGCGGGAGTCCTGCACAGCATCTGTGCCACACTCAGAGTGGTTTTATTGCTTGGCTCTGCTGGGAATTACATATCTGTTTGGCGTTAATTGGTACACTGTATCTATCACCCTTGTGGGATGCTGTGCATGGCTGTTATGTGCACAATACAGTTTCCACATAGTTTATTTTACCTGCCTTGCTAAATGGCGAATGTTTCAGTGTGTGTCTTTTTCTCCTCATTGCGGCTTCAGTTCTACTCCTTTCCTTCATTTTACGGAGATGGTGAAACAAAAGTCTTTAAAAAAGGGGCCCTTATTGTACCTCTATCCCAGCTTTCCTTGCGCAAAACTCCCACTGAAGTCAATGGAAGTCCTGAGAGTGCAAAGAATTCAGGATCAGATGTGACACTTACACAGGGACACGTACTTTAGCTGGGACACTGGAGGAGGGGTGACGGCAAAGAGCAGCAGTTTACTTTTATGTGGCTGTTTTGTAACGGTTTATGCTAAAGGTAACCTTTTCTAAACAGGAAAAATTGAGTTTTTGAAAAGACGTTTGCTGCATACGCACCCTGGCTGCTTTTTAAAGTGGAATATTTTGACTATTTAATTTCTTTGAAGTTTCCTTGGGCTCTGACCCACATTATAGATTAAAGGTCTGCATAAAAGTCAAAGGCCATTATATTAAGGTCCAATATGCTATGTAAGAGAAAATAGGACAGCTACAAAAGTAGGTGGGACATGATGCACATCCTTCCAGTTTGTTAGATAAGCTGGAAACATCCACCATAGCACCTTCCTTCTGAGGATTTCAAAGCACCATTAATATTAAGCTTCACAACATCCCTGGAAGATAGACAACTATATCCCATTTTCAAGTGGGAAAGCTCTTAAAGGTTAAGTGTTTTGCCAGAGTTTCCATAACAAGGCTATGGAAGATAATGGAAAAGATCACAATTGATTCAATCATATGATTTAACCTCAAATCACATTTCCTCTTAAATCAGTGACTGGCATCTCAAAATAAACCTTCTACGCCACAGCTAGAATCACGTCTAACCAGATTCGGACACGTTTATAACTGCCTGGCACACCTGTGTGCTAAACCAGGTTGGCATGTCCACAGTTAAGCTGCACATGCTTATTTGCATCACTGGGTTTGAGGAAAGCTGGGAAATCAGAATCTAGAAATCAGCTGCCGGTGCCAGAAGCAGAGGATTGTGGGTGTTGCCCATCCCACAATACAGTGCAGTCATTTTGGGATGTAGACAGGCTAGCTCAACTTATTACAGACGGGTCCTAGATATACCGGGAATCCCATTAGAAGCCAGTAGAGAAGTAATCCTATGTGAGCCCTTAATCTAAAATTCAGTCTGGAACAAGATTTTACAATTAATTTATAACTCCCTTGAAAAAACGGGTTTGTAATGGAAATCCTGTCAGATGATAATGACAGCAGTACTAGCAGAGCACTGCTATAGTCACCCAACTTTGGCATTATTATAACATCTAGCTGAATAATGGTCACTAGCCTTAACTAATCAGGAAACGGTGTAAGAAATCCATTGCTTAATCTAGGAGATGTTGGTCACATATTTTACTGATAACATCGCACTTGCTTTGGTTTCAGGAGGAAGTTGCATACGGTAGTGGCACTGGCCCTTTCAGGAAGCAGGACAGGATTCTGAGAAATGGAGAACCAGATCATCATTAG